GGGCTCGGGCTCCGGCCCCGCTGTTACAGCAACGACGGGGAAATACCTCAGTGTGGGTGTCAGGCTTTGAAGGGAAAGGGGGGTTAGCAAGCAAAGGCCAGAAGCGTTGAGCTGAGTAACTGCCTCGCTGGTTTTCAGCGGGTTTGGGTTTTTTTTGGTGTTTTTTTTTTTTGGTTGGTTGGTTGTTTTTTTTTTTACTTTCAAAGGAAAACTCGTGAAGGAGGAAATATTCACTGTTTTAAAAAACAAGCAACCCCCCCCCCCCCAAAAAAAAAAAAAAAAGAAAAAGAAACTAAAATTCCGAAAGCGAGCATTTTCAATTTCATGCCAGCATATCTATTTTTAAACCACAGGAGGGAAAATATTTAATGGTCTCACTCTGCTTTGAAAGCCGGTACCATGCTCCCTGCAGAAGGGCTATCACCCTTATACAAGAATATAACCATATACCATTCTAAATAGCTCAACAAATGTTAAAGGAACAATAGGTTACAGAAGCACCCAGCGCGTTAGAAGAATGACTTTGATGTGGCAGGACTGTTATTTACGGCTACAGATGCCGCTCACAATTTAGTCACTATCAGAAACGCAAACTGATCATAAATGTATAGAAACCGATACTTGCATACAGCGCTCTAACAATTTACCTACTTTGGATGCTGGTTTTGTATCATGAAAGTATGTTTGCGTGATTTTCATCTAACCTGCACCCTGGTAACTCCACTCAAACTGGAATGTGGCTTTATAAGAGCTCCTCCAGAAAAAGCATAAGGATTCTTTTTAAAAATAAAACACGGCATGCTACACGTAGCATGGAAGACATTTTCATTGAGTTCTAAGTAGCACTGGTTAGAACCTCAAACACCATAAAATAACTTGCACAATACTCGTAAGATAATACAACACCCCCCTTTGCTTTTACTTTTCTGCAAGGCAAATCACCGTGCTTCAGACACTAGCATGAGTTGGGCATTTAGTATTTAAGAAAAAAAAAAAGTTTTACTGCAAAAAACCCCAAATTATGTGCAAGTGGACTCAGACTCGAGTCTTCAGGCTGTTTTTCAGGTTGGAGCAGTGCTGTGCAAATGCAGCTGTCCCGGTCCTGAGCCCCAAAACCCTTTGCTACATTACTTTGAAGATGGAGTCACTCGTTACATGCTGCCACAATTCCTGTCTCCAAACCTGCCCCGCTCTCAGCCGCCGCCTCACCTGGCTGGCTGGGGTAGGTCTGCAGACTGGACAGCTCTCGTTCACTTTCGCAGTGGGAATGCCAGTTTCTCATCTACCAGTCGTCCTTTTTCTAAGATTACGTTTGTGTGAGCACTGGGAAAATTACTAATCTTCTCTTGAATTTGGATGAATTGAAAAGCACGTGCAAAAGTCGTTAGGATGGGGCATGAAAGAGCGTGATCCCATCAGCCTCCCCTACTTTGGAAACCAGGCTTTAAAAAGAAAAATAATTAAAACTCCCTCATCAGTCAACAGACAAAGTCTTACTCTTGGTGCTTCAGAAAGGAATAAAACCCACACCAGTCAGTTTTTCTTCCTTTTTGCAAGTGTCCTGGGTGACCTCATTTCATTATGTTCTGCTGGGCAAGCTGAAGTTCGGGGGAATACTCAGAGTGACTGTCGTCGTGCAGATATTGGAAATACTGCAAAATGGCCACGCCATGTTACTGCTTACTAGCATATACTTGGTTCCAAGAAGCTTAGACGTTTGTATTTCTGCCCCAGTCAAGACCATACCCAGAACCATCATCTGCAGGCATACAGCACCTTGAAACAACCACCACCACTCCCCCCACACACTAGCCCGTGCTTTGTTCTGCTTCTGACTGAGGACAGAGGTCATTATTTACATAAACTGGTTAATGCATTTTGTTTTCTGTTTTATATAAAACACTTAGCATTAACAAAATACACCTTCTCTCAGCATCAACAAGTTAATGCCTTTTTGTGTTCCTGCAGGCATACACTGAGAAAACACACAGTTGGGACCTCCCATTGCACCAGGCCAAACGCTCTCTGCTATAAAATCTTTACAATCTTTGACATTAGAGATGAATAACATTTCTTGTGGACAAGCTACAAGTGAAACTGGTCCTTCAGTACTCACACATTTTAAAGAGCAGCAATAAAATAGTAGCCAACAAGTTAAAAAAACCTCTCCTGAAAACACTCTTTGCTCCAACATTCCACGGTCAGCGCAACAAAACCATACAGAGCACTTTTAAGTACAGTGGCTGCAAGCTGTTAGTACAAAACTCGGTTGATCTTGTAATTGTACTTTGAACTGCTCAACTCCTACTGTAGTAAGACGGCTAACTAGGTACAAAGTTATATTTAATCATGGGGCCATAGTTTAGAGTTTACAGGATGTTAAATTGGAAGAAGTTTTGTTAGATTAAGAATGCAAAATGCACTTTCTTGACAAGTACACAGCAACTTATATATTAGCTGTATTTAAAAATAAGATTTTCAGAGGATTATTCCAAATAGTGCATTAAAGCAGCTTGAATTTTACCAGGCAGTAACAGCATTCCCTGAAAAAAAGTGCTATTGGCTTAGAAAGACCTGAATAAGTAACAAAAATGTGTTCATAAATGACAAATTCAGATTTCTTAGTGCAAACTTCAGAAAAAATGGCATCAGAAATGCAAACCTGCATGATTCACATAAACCTTCTCAAACATTAAAGTCTGGGGGTTTGGTTTTGCATGGAACAGCAAGAATTGTAAATGCATTCAAGGGCTGAAGCCATTAATATCACAAGATAGTTAAAACCAAACTAATATCTTGGTGCTGCCAAACCAGCGAAGTCTGGCTTCCTCTCCTTACAACCCCCTCCCTCCCAGCTTCGGACCGCTTGCTTTAGCTGGGGAAACTTGACAACAGGGTTAATCTAGCTCCAGCTGTCTGCTGCCACTGTCCAAACTGCGTCCAAACAGAAAACTGAGTTTCTGCATGCACAGAATTACTGGATCAGCTTAAGGTTGAATCGTTTTAGGATAATGAAGGGCTTTTAGTTTGTTAAAGGTGAAATGGAGAAAAAAGGAGGTTAGACTAGAGGATCTCCAGAAGTGCCTTCCCTCCTCTGCGATTCCCTGATTTACCCTGGCAGTTTCTTCCCGTTGGATGGCTCGCAGCAAGGGGGTACAGGGGAAAGGACAGATGGATAGGGTCCTGTTACACCATAACAAGCCACAGCAAAGGGAAGTAGAAAAGGCTATGCTCTGTTTAAATAAACTTGTGCTTTTAAGGAAACCATTTAAAATTATTACATTCCTATTATTAGCAAACTTACACCTCCCTTTCTGAAAAAAATTAAGAGGTAATCAAGCTAAAATTATTTCTAAGATCATATTTCCTTTTATTCCATTTACTTTTATCTCCAGATGCAAAAATTTATTGATTCCTCTATCAGTAAATATTTAGTAATTTTAGTAGCTCAGCAGTTTGTGGCTGAAGACCACTGAAAACAATCTAACAGTGGAAGATCTTATTTCACTTTACTCCACTATTTCGTAGTACATGTCAGCTAGACCTCAGGACTGTCCTGAGGAGCTTTATCTCCACGCAGATGGACAAAGCCCCTATGCCAGAAGAATGGTCATAGACTCCAGCACAGGCTCTGTGCCATGCTAATGCTATTTTCCTCTTTCTACTGAACCCAGGTTGTTAAAGCCTGTAAGAATCTCCTGTCACATGCACTCTAAGACAGGAGTACATTTGGGAGCTCTAGTGTACAGTACAATCGAGGGCCTGAAGTGAAATACAACGCTAAGAGCTAAAACAAGGTGTATTTAATTTTCCACAGTGGCTTCCCTTCTGATTCAGAGGGGTGATGGCCCTTAGCGCTGCAGATGCCTTAGAAAATTCCCACACAGCCGCAGACCACACTGCTGCTCCAGCGTGGTCCGATGCGAAGTTGCCTTTGCCAACCTTCCCAGCAGTGCACTGCACAGAACTGACACAGATCCCTCAAAGACATCTGATTTAGGAGATCATTCGGGTTTGCCCTTGCCAGTACTCCCTGGGCACAAAAATGGTTTTGGTTTATATGATAGATTTAGCTGGTCATTTGTAGATGTCGTATTTTCTTTACTTAGCTAGCAGAGGTAATACCCATAGTTCCTTAGCGGTGTTTGCTTTAGGTAGTTCCATGCAAGACAAGGACTCTGCAAACCAATACAATGAATACCCTGTCCTTCCCTAGACAAACAGATTGTTCTTTCATCACACAACCACTCTGAAGATTAGGTACTCTTCAGGACTTTACTTTCATTTAATATTTAGGCTTCAGATACAGACATTTCTGGTATAAAGAGAAGGTTGTTTCCCACCACAGAATGTCTCTTTAACCTATAATTTACAAAATCTTAGTGACCAGTACTGAGTACACACACAAGTCAGGGAAGTATTAACAGTTATGGAGAAAACTCCCCCAAAAGGAACACCTAAGTTATCGTAATTAATCACGGCAACAGACCTGTTTCCTCTAAGTACTCAAATAATAATCATTTATTATTCGTTTAGCTTTGTTGCCTTATTGTATCAATCAGATCAGGAATAGATGGCTGATGCTGGGAGAGAACTGGCATAAAAATGAAAAAACGCAGCATCTCAGAGCTTATAAATAGCCTTTAAGATTATAAAGGATCTGATACTAAATAGTATCTACGTTTGATGGTATCTATGAAATGCTCTGCAAAAACTAGACCTTGTACTTGGCTTGTTACCAAAGAACGTGCGGCTTACCAACGACTTGGCGTAGGAGAAAACCCTACACCATTTCTGTGTGAGACACACACGTACAAGTACAGACTTACAAACAGAAAAGCACAGATATGTCAATGAAGCTGTTAGTGATGAGTCATAAACAGACTGACATGTAGTAGCCCAAGACTGAAAGTTAGCTAAGACTAAATCAAAGGCATGCATCCAAGTATATCAAGTTCAGATTATCCTTGCAACTCCTGCGAGAATGAATTTCTATCCTACACTAGAATTGAATGAATGCTAGTACGTCTGCTTTCCCTTCCCTTTAATCAAAGACACTTGAAGGCTAATTTAATGCCAAAATTAGCAATTTTAAACTACAGATGTAGTTCTCCATAGAGTTTTGTTTTAAAATTTTATCCTCCGGGTTATAAAACAAATTTTAACGATTTTATTTTCAGTATTACAAACTGGCTTCTTACTCTTCCTGCAAGAAGTAATTTAGTGGAAAAACAAGCCATTACCACGGTATCCTCACTCAGCCCACTACGGAAGAATGAGCTGGGAGGGGGAAAAGAAGGGGAAAATAGTCTTCTGAACAATAAATTTCTTTTTTTTCCAACTTTTAATAACGTGGTGCTTACTAGATTTCTTTGCTGTATGTTTTCAAAAACATCTAATTAGCCGGGAGCTTTTAAACCTAGGAGTTGCCATGTCTCATAGTGTGTAATTAACATTTTCTAAAATCCAGTTGTGCAAACCAAGCCAAAAGTGGTAATATCTTGCCTAGTTCTACACAAGCTAGATTTTTGTGTTACATTATTTTTCTGTGCCTGCACATAAACTTTTTGAATACAAGTGAGAAGGTTCACCTTATTGTCACTTCAGAGATTAAAAAATATGCATAGTACTGTGGAGAAGTAACACGACCAAGGAAGGTCACTGAGAACAGTTTTACATTAATGAATTATTATCACCATTTTAAATTAATTGAGTCTGGACAGCACACAGAAATCAAAGCATTCAAAACCTCCCCATTTATGACTGCCTTTAATCTATCTCCTATGTTACAGACACTTTTCACTCAAAATTTAAAATTTTGTTTATCACAGTTTATCTAATACAGATCAAAAGCTATTCTCAAGAAATATTTATACTGGATCTCAAAGAAATAGACCTTACTGACATGGTCCTGGATTAATTCTCTGACCCTTTCATTTATTTTAATTGTTTTTTTCTTATTTTGTTTTGGTTTTGCTCATAATTTAGGGTAAAGGCCTCTAACTGAACTATGATTTTTTTTTTTTAAATTTTAGCCTGGAAGAGTTGTGACTCTGGTTGAAGATCCTGAGGTATAGTACTCCTGTTCTATCTCTGTAGTCTACAGAATGTCCTGTTGCATTCCCAGCCTGTGTAGTAAGTCTGTATTAATTTTTGCTTCTCTACAAGCAAATAATTGAGTTATCTTTAGTGCTATGAAAAGTTCTCTCAAAATTTCTTGGAGTTACACCAATGACACTGATTATTTCAAATAAATCAATCAATCTAAACTAAGAAACTGGAAGTAGCTTGGGTCTCTTATTACCAAAGGTATATTTTAAAGTATTTTCTGGAATAGGCGCTCCAACTATCCTGTTAGGAGATGCAGAATTTTACTTTCAGCATACACGTAGTGCTGACGATACACCAGGAGTAGACCCCAGATGTTGTGTCGGAACTGTAATGTTGCCCTCCCAAAACAAAAACTGAAACAAATCAAAATTACATTGCAGTGATAAAAAAGGAGATACTCTTGCTTTAGTTTTTTCTACACAGATAAAATGCTTAAGGAATTAAGTGCCACAACTGTGCTTTTGGTTTCTATATAATATTGTGAAATGAGCTCCTGTTTAGCAAAAACGGTCAATGGCCGGAGGCTACCATTCTTGTCCACCTTTTCCCTAGGTCTCACTGTGACAGGGCAAGGGAAGCGTTTGCAAGGGGAGTGCCTGGGCTGGGAAGGGAGGGGAGATGAAACAAGCCCTAGGCTTACAGTCACGTGAGCTACAGGAAAATCAAGATTTTTCTGCTGAGAAAAGTACTTAGACTTACATTTTGCCCATATCTAATTCTGATCAATAGTAAAGAGGCTATCTTTACAATGACCTGCAATTTTTTAGGGCTCTTTACTCACCAGGGAGCCCTCGGTTGGACTGCTCACCAGCCTAGGACAAAAGCGTTGAGTTACGCTGGGGAAGCCCAGCGGAGGCTATTGCAGGGTACACCTTGGATGTGATCACTTTCCCACTCCCCGCTGATCCTCCAGGCCCCCCACATCCAGCACTGCTGCTCTATTCTGGCACCTTGCTGGGGACAGCTTCGATGGTCATGTCCATCCAGCTTCACACCGCTCCAGGAGAGGGAATCCCTGCAGGTACTAGTGCCTCCTGAGGCGGGAGGGAAGGCAGGGTGGCATGGAAGCAGAGGCCACATGACACCAGGCCGTAAGACAAGGAGGATGGGCATTTTGGTAGTAGTTAGTTTTTATTTACAGTTGCTTATCTAGACCGATCTATTCCCCTGAAATAGCAGCCAAAAGAGAGGCGAGTTTTGCGGTAATCAAAAACTTATACTGTTTTTTGCAGTTAGCAAAACCAGCAAAATGCAATGCACTGTCTCTCATTGTGATTTTCTGTACCTTTCTAGTAAGGTTCCTTTTCACTTTACTGTACTGCTGGGTGCTATTATATTACACAGATGCCTATATAGACAAAGAATGCTTATGTTTATTGTCACTCAGTCTATTGTTAAGCAAACTTACTGGTTACCATAGAAACGTTACACCCACACACACCATAGCAAACCAGTTTTGTCTGGTTGGGTTTTTTTCCTTTTTGTCCAGAATCTGGTGTGGCCAGATAATCACACTTTACACATAAACATCAAATGACAGGACAAGTAATTTGCTTTCATTCCAGTTATTCATTCTGCAGTTTAAAAAGGTAATTTGGAAGGTATCTTAGCAGACTACAGCAATTATTCCCCTGCATGTAGACATCAAATACTGTGGTGACAAGAGCAGTGGTACTTCTACTGGCAATGCCAGCTCTCAGCTCTGTGCTAGCCTGTCCTTTTTCACTAGAGATAAACAATAGCGCAGCTTGGAAACATCTAATTTAGAGTTATTTTAACTTGCTCAATCTGAGTTTCTTTGCCAGTTAAGAGGAAAGTGCACAGAAAGAGAACACCATACTCCATGTCAGATTTCTGGATTATAGTTTTCCATCATCTGAAATAGAAATTCCCTATACTGAAAACTAAATGAATTAACTAGCAACACTTTCTGGTTTAAATCCCTACCTCTACCACACCCAGGTATATTTTCCTATCAGCACCAAAGTAGGTCTGAATGGCAGATTTAACTCACGAGAGTAAGAAGCGCAGAAGAGGCTGTTTTTAAAACTAACACGTTTCCTGCAGACAGCTGGAATAAACCCGCATCCCAGATGGCTGAGGGAAAGCAAGGAACCCATTTTTGTACTTGCTAGTGCTGTTCCTGGCCACAGCACATCAAATGCTGTAACCATCTACAAAGGATGCAATAAAAAAAAATGACTCCTCATTTTTTTTAATAAAATGCCTTTGGCCAGCATATAGTCTGACTGCAAAACTCACCGCTCATGAATTAACACCACCACCCCAGCATCATCTGGTATCATGACTAAATGCTTTGATCCAGATTTAGGGGGAAAACCAAAATGTTAATGGCTTTGTCATCATTACTGTAGCACTGATATGTATACCTACTTAGCTGCAGGAAAAATGTACATTTGATGCTGCTAGCAGACAAAACAAACTACCATTTATTTTAAAACAGCACTCATAAGAAACAATATGTAGCCCTTAGTGGATAACAGACCATCATCATTTTTCTATGCTACTTCAAAACAAAACCCCATGCATATCAGTCCCAACACAGATCTCGCCGATTTGTTTATATAAAATTTGGTAAGAGAGTATAAGTACTTCACACCACAGTTAAATATTTTTTTCAAAGATGTTACCTGTGAAGTGGATGAAGAAATACTCGGGTTCTCTAAGAGGGTAAGGAAATTTATCCTAACAGTGTTTGCTGAAGTGTAAGATATGCCACGTTTATTTGTGCAACATGAAGGTTCATTGCTTAGCTTTTTCTTTTCTGATTCAGTTTCAGTGCAGTAACGTTACGACACTCATCCCTCCAAGTAAGTACATGTAACAGATGTAGGTGACACTTGGGTCCTCAGAAATGAAACTGCAACTAAACAGAGAAAGGACCTGATCAAAATTACTTTTAATTTGGCACTATTTAAAATTTTGATTTTCACATCCAAATTTTGTGAGGTTTGTATCCTTTTTGCCAGCTCCTTAGTAGCCCACGCCAAGGTTATTTACTATTTCAAATTTAATTGTAATGATAATTTTTTCTCTAAGAAAGGCAAGAAAGACCTCAGCATTAACAAAAAAGTGGATGATCATCTGCATAATTACCATTTTGACTGAAGATTTCCTAAATAAAACAGCCCTTTTTGTTAATTTGGGACTCCTCCTAAAACAGTGGAAGAAATAGCTGTAAAAAGACTGAAAATAAGAACATTTTTTTAAGACAGTTTTGCCAAAATACAATGGAAATACATTAATTCGTGAGTATCTTTATGAACAGTGCTTGGATTTTTTTTTCTTATGTCCTTCAACAGGGGTGTGTATGGGGTGTTGCTTACAGATTGCCAGCTGGACAAGAATGTGAAGTAAAGGCATACCTGGACTTCAGAGAGAAAGGAGGCTACAGGACTACAACTGTCATTTTCTATCCAAAAGACTTGTCAGTAAAACCGTTTGATGTATTGTTATACATTGGAACTTGTGACAACCCTAACTACCTTGGTCCAGCACCTCTAGAAGAAATTGCTGAACAGATTTTTAATGCAGTTGGTCCTAGTGGAAGAAACACAGAATACCTGTTCGAACTTGCTAATTCTATCAGAAATCTTGTACCAGAGGATGCAGATGAGCATCTCTTCTCCTTAGAGAAACTAGTAAAGGAACTCTTAGAAAAGCATCAAAACCTAAATTGTCTATAAAATAACTTCTTACTTTCAATGGTCTTGCTTCATCTTCAGAGGAATGGTTTCGTTACACAATGGGTATATGACTTGGAGGCATGTTTCTCTGTACTATGCTACCTTATTTATTTTAATATCGCATTCAAAATAGTAGTTAGTCATTAAAACATACTGTTATAAAAATCATTCTTTCAGGAGTCTATAGAAAGGGGAGCAAGGGAAGTGTTTTAGGTTTGAATTTGGTGTATTGGGTTTTTATCCAAAGACTACATCTTTATGAAAAATCTCAAGAGAACCACTTAAGCTTCTCTTTGTTTCAAGATTCATTTTTTTTAATCACTTTAAGGTTTAAAATAAATCTTCAGAATATGTTTAAGATCAAAATCTGCATTCAGGTACAAGTTACACTGATTTAAGTGGTACTTTCTGATTCAAGACCACAGGTGTAAAGCTCAGTGCAGCTAAAGAGATAAATGTTAAGTAGTTGTTATAAATTGCATAGTAAATGCACAGTAGAACATTTATATCATCAGTGTTCACCTTCACTGAAATTAAATTATTCCACTGAATTAGTCATCTTACCCTTTCTGTATTAGTTTGTCTTTAAACAACAGAGGATAAAATGTTTCATTGTCAAGGAAATAATTATTTCCCTTGGCTCATTATGTCAAGCCCCTGAAAACCAAAGCACAGGGTACTTTGACACAAACAAGCCATAACGTATCAGTGCCTCATTTTATTTTTTAAGATTAATATAAAGAATAAAGCTGGAATGTTAAAATTACCTAAGAATATGACTTCATATCACAATGCAGCAAGAATGTTCAGTAACTTTCATCTTTGTTATTTGCTTTTAGATGCCGTTGTATCCCAATCTCTTAAAAAATTCACCAGTCTCTGAGGATAGATTTTAAGCCAGTAATTTTCAACCACTGTTTCAGGGATTCATGGATGAAAGGTAATTCATGAAGGAACCCTCTTTTCAGTAACCTTACACGTGTTGTATGGACATCCAAGCAAAGAGGGTTGGAAAGCCACCAGTTTAGGCTAGGAGGCTTACTTTATGCAAAACATAAGCAAGTGGAGTTTCCGTCCCAAGAAGGACTTGTCTTGCTTCTCAAACATTTAAGTTATTTTTGTTAACTTTTAACAAAGTATATTTTTATATGTTAATATAGGAAAGGTCCTATTTCAAACACCATGTAACATCACATTTTCTCATACAGAGAATGTATAAGTGTTTAGTAGTAGCTTGGAAGACTATATTTTGTGTCAGTAATTGCAAAAAACATATGTTTCTACTATACAGGTTGTCCCTTTCTCTTATTTACATTTTCCTGTTTTATATTTGTAATTGCTTGAAAATATCAGAGTTATCAAAATAACAAGCTGCTATTATTTTACTTAGCCACCTACAAAAGCCAACAAGAACATAAATGAATGTTAATAGGAAACATTTGAGAAAGGCAGCTAGATGAGTAGAAAAGAGGGTATTAAAATTCAAACCTAAGTTTGGGATAATTAGACCACTTTAAATATTTAACCAAGAAAGCTGTATTTTTTACATACCAGATTATATTTTTAGTGTGCCTCTGGCATCTCTCAAGCATTGATTCATTGAAGAAAAAAAAATAGTGTATTACTTTTTAGAAACTGTTGTTTACTATTAATAGTTGAATGCCACTATTTTAAGAGTACATGATGGGGTATTACTTGATGGACTACTCTAAATTGCAGAAGCAAATCCTCTGATTATTAGCAAAATAATCATATGTATTGAGGCCCCATTTTTCCATTAGTACACATGAGTCATTTGCAAACTGATGGAATATTCTTCAAAGGTCTTGATTCTCCACTGCACTATGCTGGTTTGAGATTGACATAACTGAGCACTGTGTTAGGGTATTGTGATTATGTATGGCTGTACATTTTGTATCTTTAATTATATTCAGGACGTTGTTGGTTCATTTACTTTCCAAATTCATAAAACTTGCAATAATATCTGTAACAATACATTCCAGTTTGTGCACACACTTCAGTACAGTAAAAATGCATCACGTTTACTAATGCTGGAGAAATTTTCAGAAATTTTATGTTTATTTAAAGTGTATCCATATTAGGATGTACATCATTGTGTGTCTTAATTGCATCTTGTTATAAAAAGTTGTTAGACCTAATGATGAAAAACAACATACAAGAACTAGCTACTATTTTGCAGTCAAACTGTGTCAACATTAGGAATTAATTAAAGCACTGGAAATACACCTTTGTTCTTGATGTATACGGTCTGAGCCACGACTCTTCCTACAGCTTTAATTACCAACAAAAGTCCGGTATGCTTTCAGATCTGTTACTCACCACAAAAAAAAAACCAACATACACTTTTTCTTTTATGCCATATATGCTTTTTTTTTTTCCTACTGGTTAGAACCAAACCTAAATTTGTGACAAGTTACAGAGATTTTAGATATGGGTTCATTATAAAACCGCACACACAAAGCTACCTCTAAACTTGGTTTCCAAACAGTGTTAGAGGAAACAATAGTTATATCCACATTGTCAGATTTTACTCCCTGGGATGCACAGGCTCAAATCACCAAGCAGTCAGCGTGGACCTCTGTCCTTCCACGGATGAAGAAAGCAGTACATAGTAGTATGCAGCGATGGTCTTCCCTGGTTTGACTGCACAGTAAAATTTTTAAGGCCACTTGTAGGAAAAGGAACTTGCCCAACAGTTGGTCAAGATACACCCTCCCTATGATGCTGAAAGGGGAGTAGTACCTAAGCCAATATATCTGTGAATTATTTCAGAATCTCCCAAATAAAAGTCCTATAGTAATTTAAGTTACATGGGGAAAAAAAATAATGAAATTTCCGAAATTTGGAAAGTCACAGACCTTTTCAAAACAAAACGAAGCTAACTGTCATGCCCTCACTACACACAGAGAGGAACTGTTAATGATTTCCTTACTGTTGAACACTACATCTTTACCTGGACTTTCATGCTTTCAAATTTTCTTTTCTCACAAGGGTACCTAAAGACCAGACCCTTTCCAGACTAGGCTGCTTTCTAGAAACTAAAATTCAATGAAAATCCTTCACAAAGATAACTAAAGTGCAGTTTAGGCGCAGAGAAGGATGCAATGTTTGGTAATCACTTTAACACATTCAGTAAAACAATTGCCACTACAAATGCAAGAATAACACCATGTTATACTGCAGTTCCTTAACAACTGACAAAAAAAGTTAAACATACAGTCTTAAGAGAAGCTCTGCAAGTCTGAACATTTCAGGCAATTTTGCTAAGAAGCATAAGAAAAAAAATTGTACTTGTTTGCTCAAAGTATCATGGATAACTTACCCCTTACAAGCAGGAAAAAAAACCAAACCGTATTTTTAACACCATTAACCCATAAAAGCTAAAGCAACACAAAATTGATTACAGCATCCCCCATCAGTATTATATCACTGCTTTATATCATTATTTCTTTAAGTTCATCACATTTAATTCTGATTTGTATCCCTTCCCATCCCTTCTTTCTGGTATGCATGTGGATACAGGCTTTTTACTCAAACTAAGGAGTTGAGGATGTTGAAAAAAACCTGAATACTACAGCTCCCCCATCTGATCTATTTCTGTATGTCTGTTCTGTGTAACAAAAAAGTTCTTACGAGGCGTTTTTCCACTCTGTTCAGCCAAGCTACTGACTGGCAGAGGGGATGCAAACAGACAGCAGGATAGCAAGCCCGCAGCAGGGTGCTGTATCTTGGCGTTTTACCATGCAAGTATATAAGTGTTGCAAGACTAGAAAAAGAGTGGTTTTCAAGTAATTTTTCTTCTCTAACAGTATTCTGCAAAAGCCAGATGTTGACTATACACTCACGTAGATTACCAATTACAGTACAGCCCTGATTATTCCAACTCCATCGTCCCTCAGTATTCTTACATTAAAGTGACTTCCTTGCTCCTCCGGCTCTTTATTCAAAGGAACTTCCCTTTAATTGTTGCCCTCTTTTGTCTCAAACATATCTTTCTGTCCTGTTGCAACTTAGATCTCTTCTCTGCAGGTATTCTGGCACCCTCCTCTCATTGTGCACACGCTTTGAACTGGAAGAAGGATTCTTCTCCCAGTACAGCTGTATCTGCTTTGGCACCAGTTTAACAGGAAAAAAAATTATACTCTCAAACAAGACAACTATGGTAGCAAGGCTCAAAAGTATTGACTAGACCTGAGGCAGCCATTTAGTAAAGTTTTAAGCTACCTCACCTATATTATTACAAATCATTTATTCAAACAGTTCAAACAGACTCAGCCATTTTTGCCCAATGTAAATGCAAAAGTGTGCACATTCACCACTGCCGGCAAAACAGTGATGAAAAACAGCCTGAAACAAAACACCTTAAACCAAACCACCCAAACTGACGATGCATCACTCGGTTATTTTTCCCATCACCCCTGGGATTTTTCCTAGCATCACCTGCTTCCTTTGCCTTCACGTACTTCCCTCACTAAACATTTCAGTGCCCACTGAAATTAAGGCTCATTAAGAATCATTGTATGTTGCCAAAACGTTATTGCTACCCCCGTATGTCACCCCACCACCAACTGCAAAGCAGGCAGTAAATTACCCCCCTTTTCTCCTGCCTCCAGAGTCTCCACTGCATTCCAGCTGCGCCTCAGCTTACAGTTCAGTCTTAACTGGAGATAAATTTACACCGAGGGTGGTGAAACAGTGGAACAGGTTGCCCAGAGAGGTGGGAGATGTCCCATCCCTGGAAACATTCAACATCAGGCTGGACGGGGCTCTGAGCAACCTGATCGAGTTGAAGGTGTCCCTGCTCACTGCAGGCCTTTAAGGGGCCCTCCTACCCAAACCATTCTACGATTCCATAAACGTGAAAATGCGCACACGCATCACGCTGCTGGCGAAGCAGTGATGAAGAACGGCCTGAAACAAAACACCCAGTCCATTTCTGCGGCACTACCTCGCAGGGCTTAGCGCGACTGCAGCCGTTC